GATGCGGGTTATGGGCCAGACTTAGTCCAAGCCCAGACACGGTATAGAGAGGCAAGTCCGGCCCGTCATGACACGATGTGAGCCACATGTGAACCTGCCTAGTTAGGGAACCGGATGGGCCAATTATAGGTCTAACCTGGCCTGACCAACGCCCACCCCTAACTTTGATGGAGGAAAAAGAAAGAAGAATTGAATCCTCTCCGACAAAAAAAAGGACATTCCTACATTTTTAACCGTTATTAGCTACCATTATTGGTCATTGGTCAGTAGACCGATGTGATTAATATTCATTAAATTTTTTATCACTTATTGTGTTTTGATTGTATTGAATTCTCTCCAACGAAAAAGGAAAAAAGGGAGGACATACCAACATTTTTAATCGTTATTAACTATTGGTTAATAGACCGATACGATTGATACTCATTGAAAATTTGAGCACTTATCATGTTTTGCTTGTATTGCACTAGTCTCATTTTCGGTCTAGGCAATGATAATTATCAATTGCATAATAAGGGTTGTAACTACCATGTTTGGCTCTGCACTTCTCCTTCGATAGGAAAGATAATTAACTATTAATATTGAAAAAGAAAACATGAGAAGTGGTTTGGGTCAACAATAGACACCATAAATTTTTTTACCCGTAAACGTGATCCGTTTCGAATTTCTATTCAAACTAGTGTGCACCTTGTGCAAAGCACGCCCCTTTTTTTATAAGCATTACATTTTAAACTTGTCTCCCTCTAAGTTTTAATGCATTTGATTTGATTATTATATGCTTAAAATTAGTAATCATATCTACTCCTCTATACTTAAAGAATATTCCAAGTTTTAATACATTTGATTTAGAAATCATATTTACTCCTCTATACTTAAATTAAAGGAATATCCAAGTTTTAATACATTTGATTTGCTTTTACTGTTTATGATACAATATTATAACATGAATAGTAACTTCATGTATGAAGGAGCAGATTTAATTTACTGTTTATGATACAGTAAATATTATAATATGAAACAGTAACTTCAAACGTGGAGTAACAAATTTGACTTAACTGTTTATGATACAGTAGTATACTGTAGTATTTACTGTAGAATAAATAATAATTATTCAGATCCAACTTTTAAGTATAAAGGAGTAAATTATGATTAACTTTTAAGTATAAAGGAGTAAATTATGATTGAATATCATTTCCATTTCTTTCGAGTCCCGTGCTCCTGTCATATTTATGAATTAAACAAATAAAATTTAAATTTAAATAAAATACGGATCATCTCATTCAAAGTCCAAAAGCAGTACAGGGTAATTGACGTCAGTTTAACCCTGAGCCCACTAAGTAAGCACGTGGGCCAAACTCAACTAACTTGGAGATGGACAAATAAAATGTTAGACGATTGTGAACTTGAAATCAAAGAAGAGTAAAGAGAAAAGTGAAGTGGGAATACTAGTCATTTATAAACTGCTATCACCTATCAAATCTGCCACTGGACATAACTATTTTGGTTTATCAAATATTAGTCTCCCACATATTGATGTTTTGAAATTATTATGCCATTTTTTTTAATATTTTAAAATTAGTCCTAATCTCCGTGAATACTCCTTCTAGTTAGCATATGGTTCACAAACATGGGAACTAATTCAAGATTAACGTGGGGGGTTAATATCAAAATATGAAGATTTGAAACTATTTTAGTATGGATTTTTTATATATTAGTTCCTTACATATTCAATTAGCCTAGTAGTCCCTAAAAATTTGAAAATTGTATATTGTTCTCTTAAATCCTACAGGGTCTTACAAAATGGTCCCTCTATTAGTTTTACAGTTAAAAAAACCTAATCAAGATCGAGTTAACTCTTAACCCTACATCGGCAATCACCAAACTACCCTATCTCTAATGTTTAGACTTTCGTGAAGCTCAACTTTGATTAGGGTTCTTTTTTAGGAGAAAATGGGTCAATGCCCCAAAAAAATAAAGTGGTTGTGATCAGACCCCTCGTATTATTTTTTGTGTGACAAAGCCCCTAATACATGAAATAATTATGTTTCAGCCTATATTTATCTTTCCAAGACAACACAGGGAGAAACTATTTACCTAAACCCTAAAATGCCCTTGTCTGCCCTCTCTTCTCTCTTCTCACTTCTCTCTTCTCTCTTCTCACGCTCAAAACTCCTCAAACATTCGTCATCTCGAGAACCCAAATTCGAAACCCTAGTTTTCACTCAAACGTCTAGTAAATCCATAAAAAATGTCTAAAACCCTAATGTAGAGAAGGAATACCCCCCTCCCCCGAAAGTCCTCACCAAAAATAACCCATTTTCCTAAAAAAAATCTCTTAATTTTGAATTTTGATTCAAATTTCCTTCTCAAAATCGACAATGAGGGGTCCGTAGAGGCCACTACGTCTAATATCGCGATGGTTCCGCCGGCAACCGACGAAGGTGAAGGCGTTCCTCAGCGTCGCCACCGGAATCGTCGCCCTCGTCTTCATTCGATCTGTCGTCGGAGACTACAACAACCTCTTCATCGACGCCGAGGCCAGTCACGCCACCGGAATCTTGCTTCTCATTTATAATCTCACAAAAGGAGAAGACTTGAGCTGGTTTGCCCTAATTTTGATTTGGTTTCATTTGGTTAAGGATTACGATTTCAACAGGAATTAAAAATTTAAGGATTTTTTTTATGTACTATTCTGGAAATTTTTTGATGCCACCAGGAATTAAACGTGCAAAAAGGAGTTGATATCAATAAATATTAATTCTATGCATGTGAAGCATCCCAATTAGATTGTTTTGGTGAGAAACTTGTTTAGCATTCCTTAGAATTTGTAATGTTAACTGTTGGTGACCTGAGCAAGTCACATTTTCTATATAATGTACATTATTGTCTCCAACTTTAGATATTAATTCTATCCTCATGTGAAGGGAATTTTTGGGTCTTGTCGTTGGAGAAGTTGGAGGCCGATGATTGTTCAAACTATGTCTAAATTTGTATATCAATATTTGGTTGGACGTTGAAGCCGTATCTTGCGAGCAACAGTCTGGAATGTTAGTATTTTACAAATTTAATCTTTTTTATTTTATCCGACATTATATATCTAACCAGCTTGTTACTTTATATCATGCAGTTTTGATTGTAGAATTTTCGTTCCCTTATATATGAAGGCTATAATCCGTGGGGTTTGATACGATTCAAGTAACTACTCTCGATGGCGAGTCTGATGTCATCCGTGCCAGGCTTGCAACTGAACTTCTAATAGAAGGATAAAAACAGAAGAAGCAAGCAAAGAAATTAGATAAGGATGAGAGAAAGTTGTCCTGAAAATTGATTGATTGAATAGATAAGGATGGGAACAAAACTTATGTGCATGTTTATATTGTGTATATTAATTTAGTTGTGTAAATAGTTGGTGTGGATGACAAACTACGCAGCAAACTTGACCTTTCTTGTTGTTATTATATTTCTGATATTTTACCACCATATATCTATGTTTTGTTTTGATACAACATATATTTAACAGGTTAAAATGAAAAAAATTTACATGTTCACTTGAATGTCAGCATGAAAAGCCAATACTAACATGTACGTCCGACAAACTCTACAATCCTACTACAAAGAAGGTGATTGAGCGGAGATGTTATGTTTGCTGAAGAAGAAGCTTAGAATTGGGATCTAGAAGCACAAAATGATTAATGGCGTACTCTCCTTGATATTCTTGAAGATGGTATCCCTATTGCAACTGAAGAAGAACCACCAGACAATGCTCCTAAAGCTCCAACCCTGTAAGTTCCATTACAAGTTGAAAGACCAAGAAGAAATCGCTAACCATCAGTTCTCTTGAGAGATTATGAAGTAACTCCAGATGATGATGTTGATGCAGATGGAGATATAGTGCACTTTGCAATATTTGCAGATTGTGAGCCGGTTATGTTTGAAGAGGCTATGCAAGATCCTAAGTGGATAAATGCAATGAAAGAAGAGATAAAGGCGATTGAGAAAAATGACATTTGAAACTCATATGGGTGTTTACCACCTAA